ATTTTATAAAGATAATAATTAAGTATTCTGTTAGAACTCAATGATTATCCTAATTATATTTTAGATTTTTTATATTTAAAATGAGATGTTTATCATGTATTTGATTATGTTTATCTGCAGTTAGTTTTACGAATTCACATATGGAGCTTTAATAAGTTGTACTTACGCATAATCTACGTACAATCTTGAGTTTTAAATAATATGTATTAATAAACAGTATTTTACGTATAAAAAATAGTTTTTAAAATACTAATATAGTATAGATTACAGATTATTTGATTAAAAAATATTTATATTTAATATCGATTTCTTTTAAACGGATATGACATTAAATAGTCTGAATTCAAACGTTGGTAGGAAAAGGAAGTAACGAAATTGTAGTTTTCATGATCGAGTAGCGTACGAGATACGAGTCACGAGATCATATCGATTCCCTGAAACGAACGTCGAAGTTCATCAGCAATCTTCCGTAGCCTCGATAAATTCAGGTAATAATACTAAATCGATCATACTAAATGGCGTTTGATCGTCCATACTCGTCTATTTTCACAAAAATACCCACGGTTTTGATCAAAAAATTGTTCAGAAACAATATGTTTGTAGCTACTTGATCACCATCCATCGTTATGTGGAGTTCTTTACGAGGTTTATTCGATATATTTCGCGATTTTGTAATGGAATTTGAAGCGTACTGTTTGATGTCCGGGATAGAAGAATTCTGCTTTTTATGTATGAAATTGAAAGAGTATAATCGTTTACCATTGATGATTAGGGTTTCAAGCTTGTCTCCATATGTAGTTGTATGTTGTTTTAAGACCATGTTTACTTTAATTCGTCGTTTCTATTGGTTACTACTAATAATTTTGTTGATTATGTTATCCTTCTGACCACATGAACGCTTTGTTGCTTAAATTATTGACCTAAGATGTATTCTATGTTGGTAGAGACGGTTGTTTTGATCAATCTTAATAAGTTGGTGGAGTTGGTTTCTTATTCATGGAGTTTTTTCCATTTTTATCTGTGATGCATGATAGTCTGACAGTTGCGATTCGATGGGAAAGAAGAAGACTGTTGGGGGTGGAGAGAAGGGTAAACAAGGAAAGAAAGAGAAGCTGCCGGTTTCAACCTTGCTTGCCAGCATGGACCAGAAACCTGACAAGGCAAAGAAAGAAAGTTCCTCGAGCTCTGGTGGCCGTAAACCCAAGCCCAAAGCTGCTCCAAAGTTGCAATCATATGCAGACATTGATCTTCCTCCTTCAGATGATGACGAAGATGATGTAGAGCATCTGTCCACAGAAGACGAATATCAAAGTGAAGGAGGCAAAAAGTCCACTAGGAGACAGAGGGCAGAAGATACGATGCTTGAGATATCCATCACTGATAAAGAGTTACAAAAACGCAAAAAGAAGGAGATGATTGCCGAGCAAGCATTAGAGCAGGCAAAGCAAGAGGCTTTAAAAGATGACCGTGATGCATTTACAGTGGTGATTGGTGCTCGCGCTGCGGTGCTTGATGGTCAAGAAGAAGCCGATGCAAACGTAAAAGATATAACAGTAGATAATTTCTCAGTCTCGGCCCGGGGGAAAGAGTTGTTGAAGAATGCATCTGTGAAAATCTCTCACGGAAAGAGGTATGGTTTGGTGGGACCAAACGGCAAGGGGAAGTCCACTTTGTTAAAGCTTTTGGCATGGAGGAAGATTCCTGTGCCTAAGAACATAGACGTTTTATTGGTCGAACAGGAAATAGTTGGTGATGACAGGACAGCTATTGAAGCTGTAGTTTCAGCAAATGAGGAGCTTATTAGGCTACGGCAAGAGGTTGCATTATTGATGGAATCTTCTGCGTCGGTGGGGGAGAATGAAAATGAAGCTGAAGATGATGCTGTGGATAATTTGGAGAAACTTGCTGAATTGTATGATAAGTTGCAAATTATGGGTTCAGATTCTGCCGAAGCTCAAGCCGCAAAGATCCTTGCAGGTTTGGGTTTTACTAGAGTTATGCAAGGCCGCACAACCCAATCATTTAGTGGTGGATGGAGGATGAGAATTTCATTGGCTCGAGCACTGTTCATGCAACCTACTCTGTTGTTATTGGATGAACCAACCAATCATCTTGACCTTAGAGCTGTTCTCTGGTTAGAGGAATACTTATGTAGATGGAAGAAAACTCTTGTTGTTGTCTCACATGACAGAGACTTTCTGAATACAGTCTGCAATGAAATAATTCATCTTCATGATTTAAAACTCCACCTGTATCGTGGAAATTTTGATGATTTCGAAAGTGGTTACGAGCAGCGCCGCAAAGAGATGAATAGGAAATTTGAAACTTATGACAAACAGGTGAAAGCTGCAAAGAGGACTGGGAACCAGAAACAACAAGAGAAAGTTAAAGATCGAGCAAAATTTGCAGCAAAAGAAGCCAAGAAGAAGGGGAAGGGTAAAGTCGACGAGGATGAGGAGACTCCAGTAGCCCCACGGAAGTGGAGAGATTATACAGTGCAGTTTCATTTTCCTGAACCCACTGAATTGACACCACCATTGTTGCAGCTTATAGAAGTGAGCTTTAGTTATCCAGGAAGAGAGGACTTCAAGCTATCTAATGTGGATGTTGGGATCGATATGGGTACACGTGTTGCTATCGTGGGGCCGAACGGAGCTGGAAAATCCACATTATTGAACCTTCTTGCTGGAGACTTGAATCCAACAGATGGCGAAGTAAGGAGGAGTCAAAAGTTGAGAATCGGGAGATACTCGCAGCACTTTGTTGATCTATTGACAATGGGTGAAACACCTGTTCAGTATCTTCTTCGTCTTCATCCAGATCAGGAGGGTTTCAGTAAGCAAGAGGCTGTTCGTGCGAAGCTTGGTAAATTTGGTCTCCCCAGCCATAATCACCTGACCCCAATTGCTAAATTATCTGGAGGACAAAAAGCTCGAGTTGTTTTCACCTCAATCTCCATGTCTAATCCCCACATTCTGCTTCTGGATGAGCCCACAAATCATTTGGACATGCAGAGTATTGATGCACTTGCTGATGCACTAGATGAGTTTACCGGTGGGGTTGTCCTTGTCAGTCATGATTCTAGATTGATATCACGTGTTTGTGACGATGAAGAGAAGAGTGAAATTTGGGTCGTTGATAATGGAAGTGTGGAGACATTCCCTGGTACTTTTGAGGAATACAAGGAGGAGCTCCAAAGGGAAATCAGAGCCGAAGTTGACGATTGATGTGGTATGTATCACTTACATTCCCTTGTTGATTTTTGAGCTATCTGTGTGTATGTTCTGCTTAGGAACAGTTCAATATACCATTCATCAACTACCAAACAACCTCCAAGTTACATCATTCTATCTTAATACATTAAGTTAGATCTTAATTTTATTATTATACTATTTATTCTGGACAAAATCAAGCAACAATTGATCTTAATTTATTCCAACAAATTGATGATTAGAGACAATTTAATAGATTCAGAACTTAATGGATAAAAAATCAAAGAGCCCTTAAAAGTCTTATTCGGTAAGAAACATAACAAAGACAGAGAATCTTAATCGGTTAGTGAGGAAGAAGACTTATATCCAGTTAACGTTTACCAACAGTTTATTTTCATGGCCGATACCCAATAAGGTAAGTTAGGACAGACCTATTAATCCCCAAGCGGGGTCCGTGTACCCGCTCAACTTATTTTTGTAAATAGATTTTTTTTGTATGAAAAATGCATCCATTAAACTTTGAAGGGTATTCCGAGATATTAGAAAATACAAGAAATATCAACGAAAAACCGAAAAGTTCCACTAAAAACACATCTGACAACTTTGTGGGTCTTTTTTAAAGAGGCACTCGTTCGGTGAAAACCATGGATCCGCCACTACTTGGCGCTAGAAGCTTAGTCGGTAAATGACCCCCTAGTTGATAAGTGATAACGTCCATTATGTCATGGTTTGTAAGGCCATCTCTAACCAATTTGTTAAAATATGCAATTTGCGAAAGTGTGCCACATGGCTGGATCCAATCTCTTGCTACGTGACACTTGCGAAAGTGTTGTTTCTTAATATAACGATACTAAAAGTTACATTTTGTAAGTTACGAAAGGATCACTTCTGTTCTGATGTAATGTATTTTGGTACATAGAGTCAAAATATGGCCAAGAAATGAGTGTTGATGTGTCAATTAGCTAGTTTGGTCCGTTTCTCTTATAATTAACTACAAGGAACTAAAGTGACATCATTCCAATTTTAAAGGACTGGAATCACGTATTGACGTCACCACCTACGTGACCTCCAGGAAACCATCACCTGTGTCCTGTGGCAGTTGGCATGCGTAAATCACCATCAGTGATTGGTCGAAACAATCATTTTCTCTCTCATTAATTGGTCTTCTGGTCACTTTTTTCTTAATTTACCCAAATACGAACACCTTCTTAACTGACACCTCCCTCACTTGCGAAGTTAGATAAAAGACAAAAAACAAAACAGATTCAACCCAGGTTCACAATTGCGAAGGTCAGGTCCGCAATTGCGACGGTATCACTTGCTAATCTTGGTTGAATTTGATTTTTTTTTTTTTTGTCTTTTAGTTAGGTCTGTAAGTGAAAAATGTATTACTTACGAAGGTAGCGATATTTAAGTAAATTAGGAGGAGAAATGACTAAAAAACCAATTTAGGTGGGAAGAATGGATGTTTTGGGCAATTTCCCCGTCACAAATCACCAAAAGGGTAAATCCGTCATGTCAAATTTCAAAAGTCCACGTCAGCTTAAACACCATTCCGCACGGCACGTGAGACCTCACACCTAAATCCTGTACCGAATTTAACCGTTCAAATACGGTTTCGTACACTTTCTCTCTCTATAACTACTTTCTCTCTCTCACACACACACACACACTCGCATATATTCCAGTTCTAGAGCCTCATCGTGGACCCCACCCCCTGCCCTCCCTCCTCCGTCCATATCTCCTCTCTGTAGCAGCCGCCGGAGCAAATGTAAACCATCACAGTCATGACAGAGAACTTGAAGAACGATTACCAGGTCGGCGAAGAGCTAGGCCGAGGTCAGTTCGGGATCATTTACCGTTGTTTTTCAGTTAACTCCGGTAGATCTTTCGCCTGTAAATCCATCAACAAGCTGCTTCTCTGTGACTCTACCGATCGGGAATGTATTGTAAAAGAACCGAAGATCCTCCAAATCCTCCGTGGAAACGCTAGCATCGTCCAGATTCATCGTCTCTATGAAGACGAGAATTCGCTCCATATGGTTATGGATCTCTGTGACGAACCGAATCTCTTCGATCACATCTCGAAACGCGGAGGTGCGTTTTCGGAATCTGAAGCGGGGTCGATCTTCATCCCGTTGATCCAAGCGGTTAGTCATTGTCATAGACTTGGTATCGCACATCGGGACATCAAACCGGATAATGTGTTGTTTGATTCGACGGGGAAACTGAAGCTGGCGGATTTCGGATCCGCGGAGTGTTTCGGGATGAATGAGAGTGGGATGATGACCGGAGTGGTTGGGACGCCGTATTATGTCGCACCGGAGGTTTTGTTGGGGAGGGAGTATAACGAGAAGGTTGATGTCTGGAGTGCTGGTGTGATTTTATACATATTATTGGCCGGATGTCCTCCGTTCTACGGGGAAACGCCGGTCGAGACGTTTCAGGCAGTTTTGCGAGGGAATCTAAGGTTTCCTCCGAGAATTTTCATGTCCGTTTCACCAGAAGCGAAGGATCTGTTGCGGAAAATGTTATGCAAGGATTCTTCGAAGCGATTATCAGCCGAACAAGTTCTAAGTAAGACATACAAACCTAAATTATTCTATTGAAAAATAATGATCTTCATATAAAGTTGTAAACCCTAGATTTTGCTTCTAATCAGTCGATTTGGGGGGCTATTAGATCTCAATCGTTTGCTTCTCTTACTTCAAAAAGTCAAAATTAAATTCCACAGTAGCCCTAAGTTTTGCAATTAGTAGCTTCTAAAATCCCCATTTAGAGCCATAATTTTCCAAATCGTTTTGCTTCTAAAGTTAATTTTACTGATTTGAACATCGGTGGGTGTGTTCTTAGTGAAAATTGAATGATAGTTTTATTGAATACTCTTGCAGGGCATCCATGGGTTACTAGCAGATGCCAAACTTGATCAATGGCTGGTATTGGCTGAAAAATGATCCTCTATTCTACAAGTTAGGGAAGAAAAAACACTTCGGTTTTCTATTAGCTTGATGACTCAACAGAAAGAAAGCAGAAGTAGGATGGAGAGTTTGAAACTGAAGCAAGTAAGTTTCCAATTTCTCTGTTTTCATCATGAGTTTTGGTAATTTTCTTCTTGTTTTGCAAAAGTTTAGAGAGAGTCGGGGAGAAGTAACCATTTGTAAATATGGTAAGAGAGGAGAAACAGGGGGAGGGGAGGTTATGGGGGGTGGAACAGGGCAATGAGACACTTAAGATTTCCTAGCAATCTTTGGGAGTTGAAAGGAGCTATGATGAGTATGCACTTATTTTTTACAATAAGTAAATGAAATCATCTTTTTATCCGATTGCTAGTATTTAATTACAACTTACAATCACATATGGCAAATTGGGAACCGGACTCGAACTAGTTGGGTCCGATCTAGCCCAAGACCGGTTATGGTTCGACTGTCTGGGGTCGGTTACATTTTTATGGGATCTCAAGGCCTAGTATTAGGGATCGGGTCCTGTTATTTATAGGCCCGATAGTAGGTAAAAGAGTTAAGTTTTTATAAATTATAATACTAGTTTTTCAAGATTTTTATAAGATTTTCAAGTTTTTTTTTTTCAAGATTTTAATTTTTTGTAAGTTTTTTCAAAATTATATCTACTTAAATGTATTATTTAAAGTGTATTTCAATACTAAAAGTCAAAAACCATAATTATAAATATTTAAATGTATTATTATATATATAGATTTTGACTTTTGGTTATCTATTTTGGATAAATTTTGAAAAATCTGTTGCAGATGCTCTAAGAAATGGTAGTCTATATTATTATTATTTAGGTCCTAGAATGATTAACCATTTGACTTTTACATGCTCGTTAAGAAATGCTATTTACGCATGGACGTTCCTGTCTATATTAAAACAACAATAAAATAACGAGTGAATTACTATCTACGTTGATGGTTAATACTGTTCTTTTTCATAACACTCAAGATCCTGAAATTAACATTGTTAGTTAATAATTGTTATGAGAGACAAATTAGTATTTGATAGGGACCAAAAATATAATAAAATATTGTGATTCACATATTTAAAAATATATATATATTGAATTTTTAAAACAGTTAACAATTTTTTTTTTATTATATCAATTTAATTGTTGTAGCTTATTAATATTTATATGATAATTTAATTTAACAAGATCGGACCTAACAAGATAGTTTGCATAAAATACTCATATTTGTCTTATCAGTATATTTTGGAATTGAGAAACTAAAGATCGGACCTAACGAGGATCACACATCCATGCCTTGTGTTGAATTTGTATATCAAGGACAAAGGGACATGATTATATACACTGATAATGATCACAAAGTCTGCTCATTAGTTGAATCACCAAACTTTATCATTTGACTAACGATGATGTATTGATAGATCTCACTGATCGTTTATAATTACAAATAAGATTTATATTTATTGCCAATGTGATAGTCCCAATGGGCCACACACATAAAATGTATATATATCTGAATAAAGAGAATAAATAATTAAAGTATTTAATTATTAATATCTATTTTTTCTCATTAAATAAAATAAGATCATATCTAGCTCACTTGACAAGCTTGGTGTATGAATGACAAGTAGTGACTTGCCATACATCATATATGTAAAAAAAAAAAAAGGACTTACATGCCTTTAAAAGATATAATATCTTCTAAAAGCATGAATCACTCTTTCTAGCAGTGATACTTATAATACTTGTTTATTATAATACTGCCATTACACTTATATAAATAGATACCATTTGTGAGACAATGTATGTATGCCTAAGTGCTAGTAGCAAGAATTATCCATTTGGGATCAACTATATTATCTATATTCCATAAGTTGCTCTTTCTTTCCTCCAAAGAGTTTGGAGATCATATCTAGCATTCGGGAAGGAAGAAGATCTCATCTTTTGGCGCAGGACATCTAATGGATTCAAGGCATTTGCATGGATACCGTGGAGGCAACGAGCCGAGTTCAATGTCTTAGATTCACATGCGACGTCAAAGGGTTGCTACTCGTTCTGGTAAAATTTTGGAACACCCATCTTACTCCATTTCATATAGATTCTTGGAGGAATACCATTATTTTGTTGTTGAGTTTATGGCTCCCATATTCCAACACACCCATACACCCCCATACATGTATATGTACATATCTACATATATGTGTGTGTATATATATATATATATATATTCATATACATATACATATATAGGGTGGAGTTCACGTGAGACCAGACTGTTTTTGCAAGACTTGTGAGACTACTTTTTTTACACTTGAAACTTCATAGCAAAAAATATAGTTCTGTAGGGTGTATGTGCGTGTTGTGGGTTATATGTTGTGTGTGTATGTGATTTGATGTGGATGCGTGTTTTGTATGTGGTCTTCACCAAAAGATGTCAAGTACCTTGATAAAGTAGGATAGGTGCCGGTGTTTTCTCTTTAGATGATGGTGGTCGGAGGGGAAGGGGGACACATGAGATTTGTCGATGGGTGTTTTGTGTGCTACTGCGACAACAAGGGAGAGAGGTTTTGTTGGGGAAAGATAGGTAGGGAAGGGGGTTTTACTGGTGATGTGCACCGTTGTTGGTGGGTAAAAGGTGGGGAAAGGGGTTTCAATCGCAAGTTTCGTTTCTCCTCCTCCTCCCCTCTCTCTCTCTCTCTCTCTCTCTCTCTCTCTCTCCTCTCCTCTCCTCCTCTCTCTCTCTCTCTCTCTCTCTCCTCTCCTCTCCTCTCCTACACATATTTGTTAAAACAAATTATAGACTTGGTCATGTGGTTATGAGTTAACAAAGTCACTATTAATAAAGTATGTAAGAGAGACCATAGTCATTCAAAGATGACAACCATACATGTTGAGTTTAAGGACGCTAATCACAGTCTTTGACATGCCATAGGGACCAAATCTGTAATTTACTGTAGAAATTTTTATTTTTATCATGAACTTCATTTAGTACATTATGGTCACTGTAGTTTTCAATTTGTTTCAATTTTGTTAAAAAAAATGATGTTACATAAGACATTTTGGTCTACTTCCCTTTTTCTTATTTATTTTTAAGAATAATATTAACACCCGGTAATTTTGATAATTCTGAAAATCTAATTTAATTCAAAGGCATTGTTAGTATTTTACAATCTCTCTCTCTCTCTCTCTCTCTCCCCTCCTTTATATTCTCGATAAACATTTAGGGTCGTTTACTAAATACTTACCAATAAAATCTAACGCTATTATTTATTTACTGGGTAAGATTTTAGTGCACCGAAACAACATCGCATGCAACAATTTACCCGGTAAGTGCTTATCGTGGTAAGAGTCGTTACCTTCACTTACCGGGTAAGACTCTTGGTCGTTACTCTATTCATCCAGTGAGGTAATATGACTTGTAAATCACTTACCCAAATAAGCGTTTGATAAACGACCCCTTACTTTTATGGAATATACTTATTTTTTTTTATCTTTGCATTATGAACAATTTTGAATATTTGTCAACACATTGAATAATACCAAGAAAAACTGTTTTATATTTACATTATGAAAGCCACAAACACCTTATCGAGAGTAAGGTGAACATCTTGTGAATACCCATTGGTGGATCCAAATTTTTTGCCAAGTGGGGCACCTTTAAGGTAGATTAAAGACATGCAAAGTCGTCCATTGTGTTTTTAGCTTAATTCTACCGTTTCAAGAGATTTTTTAAGTTTTCTTTATCGATTTTGAGAGGCATTTTCGATATTTTTGGTTGATTTCAAAATAAATTTTTTAATTGGTGGGGGCTCTAACGAGAAATTATTGAGAAAACTAGGGTCAAAAATAAAATAGTTTTTCAGCTAAGAAAATTCCTTATTTAAATTAATGGTATTTTAGATAAACAACCATGATGATAAACCAGAAGACAAAACGCCTCACTTAACGGTATTTTTAATGACATTAGTCAAAAGGACTGAAACAAAACAAATTGTAAACCTCGGTGACCATTAGTTTAATAAGTAAGGTTTAGGGATCAAAAATGAAAATATCACAGGGACCTAAATGTAATTAAATTTAACTATAAATAGATCCCAAATCAGTCTCTTAGAGAGTTACGAACCCCGATTTTGTTTTCGTAACCGAGCCCTAATTATTTTTCGTGATCGAACCCTAATGCTAGCATCGTCCAGATTCATCGTCTCTATGAAGATGAGAATTCGCTCCATATGGTTATGGATCTCTGTGACGAACCGAATCTCTTCGATCGCCTCTCGAAACGCGGAGGTGCGTTTTCGGAATCGGAAGCGGCTTCGATTTTCATCCCGTTGATTCAAGCGGTTAGTCATTGTCATGGACTTGGTATCGCACATCGGGACATCAAACCGGATAATGTGTTGTTTGATTCAACGGGGAAACTGAAGCTGGCGGATTTCGGATCCGCTGAGTGTTTCGGGATGAATGAGAGCGGTATGATGACCGGAGTGGTTGAGACGCCGTATTATGTCGCACCGGAGGTTTTGTTGGGGAGGGAGTACAACGGGAAGGTTGATGTCTGGAGTGCTGGTGTATTTTATACATATTATTGGCCGGATGTCCTCCGTTCTACGGAGAAACGCCGGTCGAGACGTTTCAGGCAGTTTTGCGAGGGAACCTAAGGTTTCCTCCAACAATTTTCATGTCCGTTTCACCAGAAGCGAAGGATCTGTTGCCGAAAATGTTATGCAAGGATTATTCGAGGCGATTATCAGCCGAACAAGTCCCAAGTAATACATACAAACCTAAATTATTCTATTGATAAATAATGATCATTCTCAATTTCTCATGGCTCTTGCCCGGTATGATTCTTGGCTCTCATGTTCATCCGATGAGGCTATTTATCTGGTAAGCACTTACCAAATTCTCTGTTTTCATCATGAGTTTTGGTAATTTTCTTCTTGTTTTGCAACTGTTTAGAGAGAGTCGGGGATAAGTAACCATTTGTAAATATGGTAAGAGAGGAGAAACAGGGGGAGGGGAGGTTATGGGAGGATGGAACAGGGCAATGAGCCACGATGAGTATGCACTTATTTTTTTAAAATTAGTAAATGAAATCATCTCTTTATCCTTTTTTAAAATCTGATTGTTAGTATTTAGTTACAACTTACAACTTACAAGCACAGATGGCAAATTGGGGCCCGGCCTCGGACTAGTTGGGTCGGATGCACCGGGTATGATTCTCAATTAATGTTTCAGATAAGTGTTTAGTAAACGGCTCCATGGCGTTTTTAATAGACCACATGTTATGCTTTAATGATTGCTTGTGTGTATTGTGATTTCTACTTGTCTCTAACCACAATTTTTGAATAAGTTTCAAGTTTATGATAGAGACTATGGGTTTGTTTACTAAATGCTTACCCGATATGCCTAGGATTAAGAAATTTACCTGGTAAAAAGCAACGCAATGATCAAGAATCTTACATGGTAATCAAGGGATAGGGTTGACTCTTAGTGGTAGGTGCTTATTGGTAAAGTCTAACCGGGTAAGCATGAGGTAAATGGCCTCTTACTGTTAAAGTATAGTTACTTTTGCTTTTTATTAGTTCCCAAACTCATTTAAAGTTTGTTTCTTCTGTTTGATGGTTT